ACTTTTCTCTAACTAGTGCTTACAACATCTCCCGCAAACACTACCCCACTACCTTCAGCTCATCACACATTTGGACCTCACGACTACCTCTAAAGCTTAAAATATTCTTATGGAAAGTCATAAATCACTTGCTACCTTTCCCAGAAAACCTATCCAGATTCAATATAAGCCTTGTTACGAGATGCCCGTTCTGTTGCAAAAATCAGGAAAGCATGAACCACTGCTTGTTCACTTGCCCACTAATCCGACCTATTTGGGCATATTTTTCTTCTATTTTGCAGGTAAAGAAGACTGCCAACGAAGAATTAAGACAAACTATGATCTTATGGTGGCTAGGAGGTAAAAGTCCTACAATTCATCAGATCATTCGCCAAGCAATGCCAGGAATAATTTTATGGAATGTTTGGAAGGCATTCAATTCATGCGTATGGGACAACAAAAGATTCTCCAGAGACACAACAATCCACGCAATTAAAGCATACACCAGAGACTGGTTTTACAGTAACTCTCACAAAAAAGGGTTTCATTTCGATATAGACCTCCATTCCGACGGGTTAGTACCATACACCAAAACCCATAAGATCTTCAATAAACATCATATCAGGTGGCACACAGAAGATACTAAAGACCTTACCCTCAACACTGATGCATCATTCACTGGCAAAAAGGCAGCAGGTGGGGGAATTCTTCGCGACAAATCTGGAAATCTGGTACAGGCCACATCTTTCCGTTCGACAGCACGCAACTCCCTTCACGCTGAAATCGTTTCCATTTGTACCTCGATGCACATCATGATAGACAAAGGTTACAGTCAATTCGAAGCACAAACAGACTCAGAAATCAGTGCAAAGATGATAGGAGGATTGATCAAAATACCTGATTATCTGAGACAAGATATCAACAAGATAAATCAACTGAGGAGAAACAGAACCATCGACATCGTTCATCGTCCTCGCCAAGCTAACTATGTGGCCCACCATCTAGCCCAGAATGGACTCGGAAACCATGGCTATGAACCGATCTTCTACACTGCAAATGACCTACCCACACGAGCAAAAAAAGCATACATTGAGGATAAACGAGGGGCGGTATTTTTCAGAGACAGCGGTTAATAACCCTAACATCTCACAGAAGAATACTCCTGGCGAAGGGGCTGAATAACACCTTGCTCTCTCACCAAAGAAGGTCTGCGGCGAACTCAAACACAGACATTCTTTGGCCGGATTATCTTATTCCTCAGACTGGGTCAACCTATTTTGGTCCTTTCTCTTGGGCCACAGATCGGCTACCTCTACTGGGCCCAATGCCCTGTTAACTTCTTTTACCTCTTTTTCAGTACATCCAGCACTTTACTTTCTCCTTTTTGTATGAGCTCCTGTACAATATCTTTTATCATGAATAAAATTTTCGTTTTCAAAAAAAAAAAAAAAAAAAGTAAATCGTAATGAGGCTTATTCACACCTTATAGTCCGTGGATTTACATCAAGGTATAGATGTTGGATTTATCATGGTGAGACTAGTACTCCGATTCAAGAGAACACAATGGCCACAGACAATACACAAGTGCACACGAATGACAGTATGGTCAATATGATACACGAAGCATTTGGTGTTCCCCATGGAATCGATTCTGGTGCTAACACTGAGCATGGCAGTGGTCCAAATGAAAAAACTAAAGATTTCTTTAAGCTTTTAGAGGATGCTGAAACTGAATTGTTTCCAGGGTGTCAAAATTTTAGCAAGTTGTCTTTTATTGTTCGCCTTTTACAGTTAAAAGCCCTCTCGAGTTGGACAAATAAGTCATTCACATTACTTTTAGGATTACTTAAGGAAGTATTTCCAGAGTTGGAGAATATTCCAGGTTCATATTATGAAGCTAAAAAAATTGTTGATGCTTTGGGGTTTAATTACCATACATGGGATTCATGTCCAAATAATTGTATGATTTATCGTGGTGAAGATATAGACCTGGAAAAGTGTTGCATTTGTGGAGAAAATAGATATAAGGAAGGTGGAAAAAAGATTGGAATTAAGAGAGTGAGATACTTTCCTTTGAAGGAAAGACTACAAAAGTTCTTCATGTCTTCCAAGACTGCTTCACTAATGAAATGGCATGTAGAGGGTAGATCTGATGATGGTGTATTAAGGCATCCGGCAGATTCTAAAGCATGGAAATCTTTTGATGAGAACAACAAGGACTTTTCAAATGATAAACGTAATGTTCGCTTAGGTTTATCAGCAGATGGATTTAATCCTTTCAGAACGTTGTCGACATCTAGAAGCACTTGGCCGGTTATCCTGATTCCCTATAATCTACCTCCTTGGCTATGTATGAAACAACCATTTTTAATCTTGTCTATGTTAATTGATGGACCTAATGGACCCGGAGACAAAATTGATGTATTTTTGCAACCATTAATTGAAGAGTTGATGCTTTTGTGGAATGAAGGTGTATTGACATATGATGCATCTGCTAATGAGATGTTCACGTTACATGCAGCACTGTTATGGACTATTAACGATTTTCCTGCATATGCTAACTTATCTGGATATAGTACAAAGGGATTTCTTGGTTGTCCATGTTGTGAAGACAAAACTAAGTATCTCAGGTTGTGCAATGGAATGAAGACATGCTATATGGGACATCGCCGATACTTATCCCCAAATCATAAATTCCGCCGAGACAAAGCATCTTTTGATGGGAAACAAGAATTTCGACAAGCACCAAAAAGATTATCTGGAAACCAAGTGATACAAAAGCTGAGTGGAGTCGTGTTGACTGACTATAAGAAAGATGACTTGCTGAAAAGGAAAAGAGGTGAAAATGAGAACTTGTGTGGTAACTGGAGAAAAAAGAGTATCTTTTTTGAGCTTCCTTATTGGAAGACCAACCTGCTCCGACACAATCTAGATTTGATGCATATTGAAAAAAATGTCTCCGATAATATCCTTTTCACATTATTAAATGTGAAAGGGAAGACCAAGGATAACATAAATTCCAGACGAGATTTGGTAGAAATGAATATTCGAAAGCCCTTGCACCCAGTTTTAAAGGATAATGGCAATTATTATATTCCTCCGGCATCATTCACTATGAGTAAGGATGAGAAATATAACTTCTGTAGAGTGTTAAATGACATAAAAGTTCCAGATGGGTATGCATCAAACATATCTAAGTGTGTTAATCCAGATAAGATGCTTCTATCAGGACTGAAAAGTCATGATAGTCACATTCTTATCCAACAACTCATTCCTTTGGCAGTTCGTAGGTCATTGCCCAAAAATGTAGTTGAAGCTTTAATTGAGGTGGGTAATTTCTTCAAGCTATTGTACTCCAAATCAAATCGTGAAAGTGATCTGGAAAATGTGCAAAATAGGATTAATGTGACACTATGTCATCTTGAGAAGATATTTCCTCCCTCATTTTTTGACATAATGGTGCATTTGACTGTCCATTTGGCCGAGGAGGCTTTGCTAGGTGGAGCAGCGCCATTTAGGACCATGTATCCAATTGAGAGGTATGTCATCCGTTATTTTATGAGATTATAAGATACTAGTGATTTCAAGAGATATTATTATGACAAAATTTATTACAACTAGGTATTTGTGTACTCTAAAGAAGTATATGCGTAATCGAGCTTACCCAGAAGCATCCATTGCACAAGGATATGTAGTGGAGGAGTGCATGAATTTTTGTTCAAGATACCTCGAAGATGTAGATTGTAAGTATAAAAAGCCAAGTAGGCTTGGAAAATATGAAGACTCTTCTCATGGAGTAGGAAAAGGTGTTAAAATAAGGATGGATAAAGTTACATGGGTACAAGCTCATCGTTATATTTTAATGAATAGTGAAGCAATAAAGCCCTTAGCAGAGTGAGATATGAAACTCAAAACTCCTTGATTTATCTTCTTTTTCAAATAAAACTAAAAGATAACACATACTTCTTTTATAGACTCCATTGTGCAGAGATTAGAACAAGCCGTCGACTCAGTGATCGAGATGTACAAAATATTCACAACAAAGAGTTTCACATATGGCTTAAGACCTATGTAAGTCTGGCAGATGAAATAGGTTATAACTTTGGTGTGGGTGTTATACTTGCAAGAATGACTTGACTAGATTATATATGCAAATGTAGGTTGAGGCAAGACAAACTATTCATGATGAGGAATTATCACATGAAATCAAAACATTAGCTCCTGGTCCCGATTTTGAAGCAAAAAGGTTTAAAGCATACATTGTTAATGGTTTCCGATTTCGCACAAAAACTCATGAAAGTGCGAGATGTACTCAAAATAGTGGAGTAGTCACCAAGGCAGAAACAACGAGCTACTCTAGTGCAAAAGATAAGAATCCTATTGCCGGTGATCTCATTTACTACGGAGTGCTAACTGATATCATCGAAATACGTTATTCAAGTAATATGAAATTTGGATTGTTCAAATGTGACTGGATTGACAATCGAAAGGGGTTGAAGGATGATGAATTTGGCTTTACATTAGTGAACTTTAATCATTGTATGTACAAAGATAATTTAGAAAGTGACGAACCATTTATCTTGGCATCACAAGCGATGCAAGTGTATTATATTTCGGATCCTTCTGATGGAAATTGGCTTGTGGTTGAGCAAATGGCACGAAGAGACAAGTTTGAGTCATACGAGACAGAACCTTGTAAAGATCAGATGTTGGATGAAAACGCATGTTTCGCAAACGATGATGAAATTGTGTGGGTTAGGCAAGGGGTAGAAGGCACCACCATTAGCTAAAGTGACAATTACAACTAGTGAGTAAATGATTAATGTCTTAATGTAATACTTGTTTGGTTTTCATTTATACTATTTCAACATGTTTGGTGTTAAAAAATTGGTAAGTTCTGTAATCTATATTGCTTTGACTTTATCTGGATTGCCACTAACATACTTGTCCAAATAAAAGAGTTTTAGTATTTTATTTGATTATTTTCTAACTAAATTTTTTATTTTATTGTGGTTTTACAGACTAATATTCGGTGAGAAATGACCAATGAAGCTGGTGGAAATAGTTATGAAGATGCTCGCAACCAGAACATTTTAAATAACAAAAGAAAGCTGGAGGTAGCTAATTCTAGCTTGTATATATTTATTAAAAAATAAATACTACAGAGATTACACTAACTAAGATTTGTTTTGAAGGAGATGGGGATCTTATCATTGAGTAAAAAGTCTATCCGAAAAAAACCAGTGAGATCATATATTTGTATTATTTAAATTTGAATAAAGTTGTAGACATTTAGAACTTCATTAATTTAAGTTCATGTATTTATTAGTCATGTTCAATTTTATTTAATATTTTGTAGGTGAATAGGGCTGGCAAAATTGTTAGACCAAGAACTAGAGCAACTAGAAGTTTACAGGATATTGAAATAGAAGATCTGGTTGAAGGAGACACACCAACTATGGTCAATATTTTTTTCATTACCTACTTGTGATTACCTTATGCATCAAATTGAAGTTTTTTTAATATTAATATAGCCTGTCAAACCTCCTATGAATCTCCGCAAGAGATCTCGCACATATAACGTTTTGTGTGAAAACGACAATGATGACATTTTACTGGAAGAAGTCTGTGTGCGAAATGGCATTTCTCAAGGTCAGCTGAAACCTATCAATAATATTCAAACTAGCAAATATCTCATTGTTGTTATTGAGTATATATTTGTTGTACATTGATATAATTAAAATACAAAATGTATACTGCCAATTTTCAACCTGTTACAAACATATATTTATATTTTGAACTATAAATAGAGCAACTAGGAAGTGAAGCTGAAATTTTTCGAAAAGGGCGCGGACCAGCAAAGGGGCTTCAAACAAAGAATGGTAATAAACTTGAAGTCGAGTGGAATGAGTATTTGCAACCAGTGGGTGAGAACAAAAGCAAACTTGCATCTTATTTGGGAACCTTGGCACGTAATGGAGTGAGACTACCTCTTTCATTTGATACATGGAAAAAAGTTCCTCAAAGTATGAAGGATTTTATTTGGAAAGAAGTGCAGGTATGAAATCATTACTTATATATATATATCATTACTTTAGATATGTTTCATATATAAAAATATATATATGAAATCATTACTTATATATATTCTTGTAATTGTTATTAACCCTTGGTAAGCAATGTCTTCATTTGGAGCACATTAAATTACATGTTGATCTATTTCATCTTGCAATCCTGATGGAGTTGAACTGGATAGACAAAAAAATAATTTCCCAATCTGTCAGTCTACTACTATTTCTACCCTGATACCAATGACACAACATCACCTTTTCAACAAAAGGACACCATATATATGTAAATCAAGGACATATATAACCAGCTCTTCATCAAAGACAACCATCCAAATAGATAATGCACTGATAATGCATTAATGACCTTGAATTAATGGACTATATAATCAGCTTTTCAACCTTCTATATCTACGCACCCTACATTTGGATTTGATATTGCACCTTGATTAATGGACCTTGTCTTGAATTGAGTTGCAGGCAGAATCTGTAATATATATATGTGTGTGTGTGTGTGTGTGTGTGTGTGTGTGTGTATTTTATCATTTGCCTTTAGTTTCTCAACCTTTGTCATATGTTATCCATCGACACAATTGTGTTCTTGGTTACAGAGCAATGTTGTTGCCCCAGTTGCTTATAAAAAAATCTGTTTGCAATCTATTTCTGCACAATGGCGTGATTGGAAGTCTCGCGTGAAGGAGGATTACTTTGATATTAATAAAACAAAAGAAGAGAATTTGTCTGCAACTCCCAGCCTCATTACAGATCAAGAATGGGAATTTCTTGTTGAAAAGTGGCACACACCAATAGAACAGGTTTATGAATTATATCTCTTTCTTTTCTCAATTGTTTTGTTTCATCTACTACAAACAAAATGAGTGCAGGGAGAACAATTAGTGTTCATTTTTGCTTTTATGTTAAAGAGATGAGGTAGTGCATTGAAATCACATTATGTATCACTAAAAATATTTATTTGTAGGAAAATGCTGCCAAAAATCAACGCAATCGAACTTTTGTGGGTCCTCCACATCGTACTGGAAGGAAGTCATGCGCTGATATACGTTACGAGGTTTGTACCATCCACCTTTTACTTTTATGCTTAGTTTAACTTTTCACATTAACGGGCCTTTTTATAGATGGAGCAAGCTGGAAAATCGACTGATAAATTGAGTGTCTACCTTGAAATGAGGGTGAATAAAGATGGCATGATAAAAGATCACCAAACACTTGAACAAATTGTAAGTTGTTTTTTTTATGGTCAAATAGTAAGTTGCTATCTAAATATATTATTTAGTAATCATATAATTAAATTATTAACTAAAACTTTTTGATCTCTCAAAGAAAGCATTTGATGAGCGATTAGATGAGCTAAATGAGGATGAGCGTGACTGTGTAGAAAAAAGAAATGAAATATTTGATGAAATTATGGGACCTGAAAGCCATGGACGCTGCCGCACAATGGGAACTGGACCAACCAAATCTCAAATAAATAGCAAGATGAGAGAGGATGAATCACTTGGCAACAAGGAGCAACTTAAGAAAGAACTAATGGAAGAGGTCAAACATCATTATGAGCCTATAATTGCTGAATTAAACTCCAGAATTGATGACTTGACGGCCAAATTGGATGCCTCAAAAGAACAAGTTTGTAACACACTACACTTTGTGCTATATTTAATATGTGCCAAAAATTAGGAAAGCATGTATGAAGAATATAATGAAACAAACAACTTTAAGTGATAGTAATTATTTATGTACTTTAGCATTACTAATGAGTATTACTTGTTTTTCTATAGGTATTGGAGCAGCCATGATGGTCATTCCAAATTATCAATGAAACATATTTTGGGTGAAGTTGAAGGGAACATGTCATCCAAGAATTTTTGATTTACCATGTACTTGACTTGCAAAATACTCATACTAATTTTGGGCAAAATACTCATACTAATTTTGGGGTAGTAGATACATTTTACTCGTACCCAAAACCTTTGTTCTACATTTTCCCATATGTTATGAAATTACGTTTTGTTGAATGACTTGGTTATCATTTTGAAGCATATGTGTATGGTTAAATATTTAAGTACTTCTATTACTAAATTACATTGTTAAAGTGATGTTGCATTATTTGGGTTTTCAAATTGGACAAAAATGAATTTTATAACAAATAAAAGATATAACTAATCTCTCTATATGATCCAAATGTGCAATCATATACTATTTACTACGGATTCCTTGTGTGGTCAAAGGTTAAACACAACACCATACATAATATTAGTTACCACACATCATGTACTGTTGCTATTAGTATAACCGACAGTTGACAACCGTGGTTAATGTATTTACCACGGCTGTTATGCCCACGGACACAAAACTGTCGTAGAACTGTCGTAAATAATATTTACCACAGTTTATGTACCTTTTTGTGACAGTTTATAACTGTCACAAAAGCCTATATTTCTTGTAGTGCCCGTTCCGCCGCCTAATTTTGCATACTCCACGGGGTGCATTGTCTTAAGATGCCTTGCGGCGGATCCGTATCCACCGGAGGTCCCCAAACTATAATTGTTGTTGCACCACTTGCAAGTTGCGTGCCAATAGCCGGTTTGTGGGTCCTTCCACTTATCAAAATTATTTTGCATTAGTTCAGATTTACTTTTTTTATTACCGGTGGCGGTTTGGGATGAGGCAGGCTCGTTGGCGTCGTGGCTGCCGGCACCCTCCTCCTCGGCCGTCTCCGGTTCCATTTCCTCCGCATCTTCATCCTCAAGCTCTTCTTCGTCAATGGTCGTCGGGATTTGATGTTGTTGTAGAAAGTGGTTATTATGTCAGGCCAATTCTTGTTCTAGTTGTTCTTCGGACATCGCATCTCCATCCCGCCTTTGGTAACCCGTTCCAAAATCATCTCGGCTTTGAGATGAAGAGCCGGCAAGTTCTTTACCTTTGCGGGATTTCTTCCTCCCAATCTCGTTCCTTCGATTGCGTTGGAGGTTACCCAAATCAACCGAATATCTACCACCTTCCATCTTAAAAATGTAACAAATATCAATTCGCAACAAATATAATAATGAATACAAAACTAATGCAACTAATTAAAACTATTTTAATTAATACTTCAAACTAATTTAATGCAAAGTAGAATTAATGTGTGACTCTAAAATTAAAATTATAGCAACTTTTCAAGTACTTTAATTTAGTAAAAACTACTTAAATAAAATGTTAAGTACTTTAATTAAATGATTGAACTACTATTTTTTCGTTCAAATATAAATTGAAAATATTATAATGTGACTTTAACTATAATGACAATTAACTAGTTTTTTGAAGTAAAGTTGTTTTAGCAATTAATGGGAATACTAATGAACTAATTAACTAGTATAATGAAAAATGTAACAAGAATGCTAATGAACTAATTAACTAGTTTAATGAAAAAAGTAAAAAGAATACTAATGAACTAATTAACTAGTATAATGAAAAATGTAACAAGAATACTAATTAACTAATTAACTAGTATAATGAAAAATGTAACAAGAATGCTAATGAACTAATTAACTAGTATAATGAAAAATGTAACAAGAATACTAATTAACTAATTAACTAGTATAATGAAAAATGTAACAAGAATACTAATTAACTAATTAACTAGTATAATGAAAAATGTAACAAGAATACTAGTTAACTAATTAACTAGTATAATGAAAAATGTAACAAGAATGCTAATGAACTAATTAACTAGTATAATGAAGAATGTAACAAGAATACTAATTAACTAATTAACTAGTATAATGAAAAATATAACAAGAATAATAATTAACTTATTTACTAGTCTAATACTAGTTATAGTAACTAATGTATAATATAATGTTGGCTAAAGGGTCAAATAGGTACATGAACTAACCTAAAGTGTTCAATTAGCCCCTTATATAGGATTTTTTGCCCGGGCGTCGCCAATTGGGGCGGTTCCCGGTGGAATTTTTTGTTGAATTTTTTTGAGCATCTTCTTCATTAAGTCTAGTGTACCCAGACCAAATTTCAGCTAAAAATTCAACCGGGAAGGCAGTCGAATGATTTTCTGAAAAATTAAACAGCGCAGTACATTTCGGAAAATAATTCGACTCCCTTCCCGGTTGAATTTTTAGCTGAAATTTGGTATGAGTAAACTAGACTTAATGAAGAAGATGCTCAAAAAATTTCATCAAAAAATTCCACCGGGAACCGCCCCAATTGGCGACGTCCGGGCAGAAACTCCTTTATAAGGGGTTAATTGAACACTTTAAGTTAGTTCATGTACCTATTTGACCTTTTAGCCTATAATGTTTATAGTATATAATATATAAGTATACTACTATAAGATGAGTAATACACTTATATTTTATACTTTAATATATAAACTATATATTCAATAGATGTAGAATGCATGTATTAAGTGGATATAATAATTGTATAAGAATTAAATATTAGAGTATAATGGAGAATTGGAGAATAAAAAAATAAGTATATGTGAAATATAAGTAGAGAAGTAGATATTATTATGTATTAAGTATATAGTAATAGTTTATAAAGTATATTTAATACTTTAATATATAAAGTATATATTAAGTAGATGTAGTATGTATGTATGTATTAAGAGATATAAATAGAGATTAAGTAGATAAGAAATATAAGTAATATAGTATATGTATTTATAAGTAGATAATTAATATATAAGTAGCTATAATAATTGTATAAGTACTAAATATTAAAATAAAATATAATGGAGAATAAGAGAATTTGAGAAGATGAATATGGAGATGAGTAGAGAGAAGGATTTAGGAAGAGTTGGAGAAGAGGTGTGAAAAAATGTTTAAAATTAGGAGTATTTATATTTGTTTTTTTAACCCCCACCCCCCAGCCCAACCCCACCCCCCAAAGGCCCCGGACCCCCCTGGTACCCACCCAACATCTATATAGCCGTTTGGGAAGTGGGTCAAGTGCCCAAAAGGGTTTTTTAAATTAAAAGGAATTTTTTTAAAACAAATTGGACCGTTAGGCCCGGGCCCGACTCGGCCGGGCCGGGCCACCAAAAACAACACCCGAGCCCGGACCCGCCACCCCCCACCGGTTCGGTGCCCGAACCGGACCCGGACCCGAGAACCGGGCCGGTTCCGGGCCCGCACAGTAACGGGCCGGTCCCGGGCCCGCACAGTAACGGGCCGGTCCCGGGCCCGCACAGTAACGGGCCGGTCCCGGGCCGGGCGGCCAGAACCGGGTCCACCACTAATCATATATGCACTTTTATTACTAAGTATTGCATATTATGGTTTGATATTTTCCAGTGCGATTATATGGAATTCATCAAATTTTAAGTGATCAAGAACTTATATCTCTTCTTAGTTTTCTTTGAAAGACTCATTTGTATTAAAACTCATCCCTATTTTATACTTTATGATATAACATTAAATTGTATGTAATTTGTAATGCGTGAAGAAGATACTGACTAACCAAGTTTACATTGAATTTTGTATGCATGAGAATTTAACATTTCTTTGATTTATGGATATATCTTTTTTTGTTATAGGGTGTTTTACATTTTCTCTCTATATTACTCCATATTATATTAACTTATATGTAGTTGATTTATATTAACATTTCTCACTTTTTGTCTCGCATTTTTGCACTTTCCTTCCACTTGTGGTGTTCACCAATGGTCCCCAAATTGTTCTTGGACCTGTTTGAGCTCAGAATAAACCTAATCTAAACATATTACAAATATTTTACAAACTAAACTATTACACTAAAAGTGTGTAATTTCCAAAGTAACAATCACTCTAAACTAATTAAAAACACAAATTTAAACATGGAAATTACATGAATGTCAACTCCCCCACACTTAGCTTCTTTACTCGTCCTCGAGTAAAGTCAAATGTTTAACAGTTCCAAGTCCTCAAGAGTTCAACAATCAACAAGAAAAAGCAAAAGACCACCAAGGATAAAACATGAGTTTTACATTGAATGTTTAGCTCAACGAACAATATCTTCTTGGGTGTTATGGCCTTCTATGCTCATCTCCTCTTTTCATGTTCAAGAGATTAAATGATGTCCTGTAAAAACAAATATCTCTCTCATATCTCTCATTTTGCCTAGGAGCCTTTTCAGGTTTTCATCCTAGCATCTCTTTTTATTTTCCATCCTTTCCACTCACTCATTTTTAAAGCCATTTTTGCTTAGATTGCCCATTTTTGGGTTTTCAACCTAACTAGCATTGATTTTTTTTTTTTAAGAAAGAAAATAGTGCCAGTTTACAAGGTATGAAACATAAATACGTACCAATGAGTGACTCCCCCACACTTAGCTCGAAGCACTGTCCCCAGTGCTCGTCTCCGTCATTTCAGGCAGAAATGGGCATCCTCATAGCCCGGAATTGGTTCCCTAGCATTGGAACTTTCGGTTGGTTCCTCTTTGGTGCCATCTTTGTCCCTTTTGTTTTTTTTTTTTTAGCTTGGATTTGGACTTGGGGTTGTTGGGGTGGGATCTCGGTTTTTTTTTGTTTTATGGGGAGAGGGTAGGAGTGATGGGTATCAGTGTGTAGAGGAGTGTAAAGGGAGAATTGTGGTGGTGATTTGGGGTGATTTGGTTGAGGTATGAGGGAGTAATCGAAGCTTGAAGTCTTGGATTTGGGATGAAATTTGGAGCTGGATTGGGTTAAAACCTCGTGTACCCGATCGGGTGGCCCGACATGCCCGATCGGGTCTGTGCCTTTGATCTTAGTTTCCGGGTTTGTACCCGATCGGCTGGGGTGTTACGCGATCGGGCGAATTGCACCGTGGGAAAATCCAGCATTTTATTTTCAATCACCCGACCGGGTGCTTCAAATACCCGACCGGGTATTTCGTGTATTTTTAAAGACTCGCTCCAGGGGTTTGTACCCGATCGAGTTTGGGGGTACTCGATCGGGTATTTTGCTTCGAATCAAATCTTTTTAATTGTTTGGTTTATACCCGACCGGGTCTTAGAAGTACCCGATCGGGTGATTACCTTATTTTCAGCCTTGCCTCGATCGGGTATGGGTTTTATGCTTCCAGGCATG